ATGTGGAGCGGGCCCATCCGTCATATGGCCATTTGTGTAATGGCCCAGAGAGTCATTATGCTGGCTGACTCCATCCGTGACAATCCAGATACTTCTCCTGGAGGGCGAGAGCTGATGGTGTCGTTACTGTCCTCTGTGAAGCAGATGTGTGCAGCGAACACCGGGGACATCACTGTTAGCCGCTCCGATAAGTTCAGTGGACGAATCGTGATCCTTTTTGGCTCAGCAAGCTGTACTCCTGAAGATCTGCTGAAATGCTGCGAAGATCGCTATAGAGAAGTTGATCAGCATTGCATTCTAATCGCAGTCACCATGAGTGCTGAGCCAGCAGGTTCCGCTCAACTTGGCAAGACCATCGCGGCTGCCATCAATGCCTGGGGTGAAGCTGAGGCCAAATTTGGGCCTCCCGGAACAGCCGGTGGAGCTGGACGTCCTGAGCTTTTGATTCACCTCTTTGGAACGGCAGGATTTGGAGCCTGGGCCAAAGCCTTGAAGCTTTGGCACGAGCAATCTTATTACCCCGATGAAAAGCGGTTGACTGGAAGAATGCTGGCACTGGACAAGATCCTCAAGGGTGTTGTTCTTGATTCAGCACCAGGCGGGCGGAGACATTTCACCTTCAAAGAATGTGGTTATTTCATGTTATTACGGATTTCAGTATCATTTGCGCATTCTTTCTGAGACTATCATGCTCAAAGAACATCGTTGGAAAAAGTAGGTGTTCCATGGTGAACTTCCATGATGTTCCATGTTCACATTAGGATATTTACGGCTAACTATTCCTTTGGCTGGATTTCTTACTTGGATACCTATGTAAATCGAATGGATCAGCATGAAAGGCGCTCATGTTGTTGAGGCGACTCTGGCACTACAGTGTTGGGAGCTTTTCCAATGGTCCAGGGAGATGCAGCTTTGCTTTCAGTGCCTCAGCCGCATCTGGGAGAGCTCGAGTTCCTGCTGCAGCTTGCTTTCTGCGAAAATATTTTGCAGCCGAAAAGGACGCCTGAAAAAGAACACCTAGCTGATGAGGGTCAAAAATTGAGCACAACATGAGTTGAGATGTTGATTTTGCCATCAGGCGATGAACTCTTACAACGCTGACGGCTCCCAACCAAGCGAGGCACAGATTTCCCACGGGAAGAGGTGTTCCTCTTCGTGAGCCTTTAATGAAGTTTCTAATTGGGCCTTATTAAAGAGATTCCTTCTCTTTTCTTGTTATTTTCATTTCTTTGTGTTCATGCCTTCAGGTCCAGAAGCTGCAGGCCCTGTTTGCGCTGTAGACATGCATTTACCATAGCAGTGGAAATGTCAAGATGGGTCTAGCTAGACTAGACATCAGACATCATTATCAGATTCATGACCATTTTGCGTTGCCATGCTTTGGTGAGTAACGATGTTTTGTAGAACTTTGCTCTTTGTAGCGGGCTTCACAGGCAATGCAGAAGGCCATGAGGGACCTCACCAAAAAGGGTGGGCCACTCTGGGACTACTATGATGGCATACTTGAAAAGGACAGCGGAACCAACAATTTGCCAAAGCCACCAATGCTGATGATCCTTCCCATAACATTTGCCAGGAGCAAGGGTTGCCAATGCAGGTTCATCAATATGAGCCAGTGGTTCCGCTCCTCTTCATCTACTCAGATGCAGACAAGTGGCCTTGGCCGCATCTATTGCTTTGGTTTCCGCTCGAGCCTTCATGAGAGCACCTAGGAGGATAGACAGTTTGAGTGCTTTTTCTTCAACAAGTCGCTTTTGAGCTTCATGAGGATCGCACCAGCTGCGCAAATCGAGCGCTATCTAACAGAGTGTGAGATTCGGCAAGCTCAGAAGGTTGCAGACCATGGAGTAGCACCGGTGCTGAGCTGAGAACAAAGAAAACATAACAGAGCAAGCGAGAATAGAGGGCCGTTTCTTTTTGTTTAACAGAAGATTACTTGCTTACGTCTTACTTTCCTGTTACACTAAATATAAAATAAGTTTGCCAAAACATCATTAAACATCTAGGAACCAAATCAGTCATGCAAGGGGTTCTTCAAACCTCGAAGAAGCCTGAGCTCTTCTGTGCTGAGGCATCTAGTAGCTTGTAGCTACCTACTTACCACGGCCTACCCCTTAACCTCCCCCTTTCAAGTAAAAACATCTCTATAAGAATTCTGCATTTTAATTCATCGGCCTCTCCAAGGCTCCCCCGGCTCGAGTGCTTCATCTCGAGAACTCCGGGCATGTCGCACATCGCGCAGGACCCACAGAGGCTGTGCTCAAGAATTTGCAGTGTCTTCATATTGTTTTGTTTATATACAACGTTGTTTTAACCATGGCATTCGTGCAAGGTGCAAATCGTATGTCTCTCTGTTTTTCTCGATTGCTGGTCATGTGTGTGACAGGTGGAATACTGGAAAAGCGTTCATGACTTTTGGAGATTTTCGCTCTTTTGCTGAAGAGCTATCCACACATAATTGAGATGAAGCCGGACGGCAAGACTATGGTCTTGAACAAGCAGCAAAACAATCAAGCAGCATCCATGGTACTTACTTGTTGATTCGAATCAATTGTTTCAACATACTGGGAGGTTGCCGATGTGTGCCAGGCACAGACAAAAATTATTAAGAACTCTTGCTCTCCAGGTAGGTAGAGGTTTTGCCGATGCTGCCAAACGGCGGTTGCACTTTCTAATTGCGCCCAATATGGAGATTCACGTTGCTTGTGCACCCCTTCCTTCAGTTGTGGAGCTTTCTTTCCACATTTGCGAGTTGTGAATTTGAATATTGGGTGTGCTTCGGAGAAGTCCAAAGGGGCTTGTTGTAACTTGGATAACATGAGCACGCCTGCTCTGTTTCACCCAGAGTGCAGTCCGGCCCTGAGACCCTCAATGCGGATTTGGTGAAGTGCCCTTGCAAATAACCACCTCAAGCAAGGTTGTCAGGATGGAAGATGCATCTTCAACGACGTATTTTTGCCTGAGCTCTGACTTGCTTCTGAAAATCAGGCCAGAATGATGCTTCTTTGATCTTCTTTTGGCAATTCCTATGACCCACTTTCGTGTGCCAGGACGGCTATCTAAGCGCAGGACAGAAGTAGCTAGAATTTTCAATCAACAAATAAAAAACCTAGATCAAAATTGACAAAAAGTAATATATCACGAAAGGTAGCCCTTTAGGGGATACCTTGAGTTTGTCTTGCGAAGCAAGTGTTGGGACGTCCGGGTCTAATAATTGATCACTCAATTCAACCCCCCCCCTCGAATTGATTTCTCAATACAGACCCCCCCCCCCCCCCCTCTAAAATTCAATTCTCTCCTGGAGAACGTCTTCGTGAGCCTCTCATGATTTCAGGATAGTTGAAACCCTCTTGAACATTCAGAAAGAGTGCATATGAAATTCTAATCACGAAAGGTGTTCCCCTGAGGGGATACATACCTAGAGTTTGTTTTGTGAAGCACGTCAATTCTCTCCTGGGGAGCGTCTTCGTGAGCCTTTTATGGTTTCAGGATAGTTCAAATCCTATGATGTTCCGATTCAATGCTCATCGATGATCTGATCCATGGGACAAATTTGTTTTCCTAAGAATCTTTTTGAATATTTCAAGAACATATGTTTGAACATGTAGAATATATATGAACATATATTTACGATTTACGAAAGGTCGCTTCCGAGGGGATAAATTACCATGTCGAATATTGCATTTTTCTTCTTTTCTTTCGCGGGGGTTTCTCTTCTCGTTGTCTTATCTTTCGTATTTCTTTCCTCTTAAATAATATATAATGAATATGAATATTTATATATTTATAATTATGGAATAAATATATATAGAAATAATTAGATATTAATATATATATAATACGATATAAAATTAATAATATATAATATTGTTATGAATATACTTTATTGATTAATTATTAATAATTAATTTATTAATTATATTATGAATATAATATATATTTGAAATTTAAATATTAGGATTGATTTATTATTTTTAATAAAAAAAAATACGATGTTTAAAAATCGCAATTATTGAAAAATCGTTGAATGAATAAATTGAAATATTGATAAATTATTAATTTTTTTATCGATCATTGATAGGAAATATGGATTTTGTGATTGGCTACGCCGATGCTTTTGCATATTTTATCGTTCTTTTTCTGCAAATTCCTTGTTATTTGCAGCAACCTTTCTGGCGGATGGCGACTAGGACATAAATTAATATTATGGATTGCATAGCATTGCATTAGAATTGTTAGAAAGCGCGGACACGCATTTATTACAGGTAATCGAGGCATTGATTTATAATTTTTTAAGAATTGCAACGCCTTTTTATTGAGGCCTTGATCCGGAAATTAATATATGGGTTTTATTGCAATTGTTCTTGATTATTTTTGCAAATTTTCTCGATTGATCCGTTGTAATATAATCCGAACTCCTGAAAAGCTCAAAATATTGAAGGGACTGGCCGTTTTCTAAGCCATGGATTATTTTGCGAGATTGAGGATCGATTTACCGATGCTCCGCAACACGCCCCGGGCGTCTATTGATATCCATCGTTGAAATTCTGCTCTGAAGGACCATCGTTAGGCTCACGCGCAATGTTTGGCATCTTATCTGTTGGCTCGAGATGCTCTGCATGCGGATTCCGAGGAACACCTGCCGTCTTATGAAATAATCCCATTATTTGGGGGGGGTCCGGACCGCGACGGAAGCCGTAGATCCATTATAAGGGAATTAAGATTAAAGATGAATAGGCGAATATGAAGGAAATAATCTGATTATTTCGAAGATTTTGCTTCAGAAATCCGCGTATGTTTGTTCGATCGTACCCCAGTCCGTAATATTAGTATTTTAAGTTGATATGAAAGCTCATTGCGGTTTAATATTTTGATATTAAAAAAATATATATATATATTTATGACTTTTTGGATCTATTTGCAGTGCATAAATTTATATGAAAATCCCAAGTTTGAACCCCCATTAAATTCGCATCTTGTCTATACCCCTAATTGCCTCACTGGATTGAAAACTTATATTTGCATGAAAGTTAATCTCAAAGCTCGAAATCTTATGAAATATAGTGAAGCTTCGTCTGAGCAGAGGACTTCGTCTGAGCCCGAGATAAATCCAGTGTCAATTGGCGACCCTCCAAATTCTCTGCAGCCAGCCAAGGGCGGGCACGGCAGCAGGGCTGACAAGACGCCCAGACATCATTCCAATCCAGCACAAATCCATTCAGAATCCAACCCAAATCCATCTAGAATTACGCTAAGGTCGGTCCCTTGTTCGAGAGGTCTGAGGCACCATGCCGATACGGTATTCCTGAATATAATATATCAATATACTATACCCATTATATTTTTTAGTATATATTTGATAAGCTATTGGATCGTATGTTTTTAGCTGGGTCCTCCTGCAAGGACAAGGTATATAGCAATCTCCCTGCTTTAGTTTCGCCTTCGATCCTGGTCGCAAAATTCGTGGACAAACCCACGGTAGAAACCAGGAAGGCAAACAATAAATAGCGCAAACGATCGGTAGAAAAAGCTCCGGTATTCCATACCATGAGAACGGAAAATGTTTGCATTATTTTTGGAAATGTTGGAAAGCAAAATTGATATCGATATCGCAAGTATACAGCGTGCCTAGCATTATTTCGACCATTTATAACTTCAAGATTGTGATCCCCGGAAGCAGCTGCGCCTCTGCAGGGCCTTACGCAAGTGGCAAAATGGCTGCAACAACAGGACTGCTATGGTAAAGAATTGAAAACCGAATTGATTCGGGTACTATCAATTCTGAGAAAACCTAATTCGTGCTTGCAAAGAAATTTCTTTCTTTTCATAATGTTTCTGTGCAAGAAGCTGTCTCCAATTTACATATAATTTTGAGCGATATCTACGATGTTTGCAAAAAGCACCGCATAGTCTAATAATGCTAGTTTGCATCAAATTGTCTCGCATTTGTCAACAATGCCAAGACCTTTTTTTGAAGCTGCAAAAGGCAATTCGAACAAAAGGTCATTTAGAACATGGAACAAGTGACCGGCGCAGTCACAACAAGCCAGAATGAATAATGCACATATGTGTATGTATGTCAAAAGATGCAGGTCGAAAATAGATTAATGCAGTGTTGCCAAACAAATGGAAAACCTTACAAAGCATCAAACAAAATGAAGCTTTAGCAATGCAGAGTTGCCGCGCAAATGTATTCTATCAAAGCGTCAAATATAGGATTAAATTTGCGACGCGTTCACGCGTATAGCTATTAAACATAGAATATTATGGTAAGGCCTTATTCTGTTACATGCGCGTTCGAATATTGCAGAGGAAAGCGCTGGCGCACGCGTCCAAGAAATACTCGATAGGCACGTAGGAACGAAATGAGAAATGGGGATCCAGGGTCGGTCGCTGCGAACGAACTCGAAATAAATCAGGACTATCTGTGGTAGACCATGCGGGATTCGGACCCGTGACGGACGGCGTCGGAACGTAGCGGAATTGCTTAGTGATACGTACACGTCCCAGGGCGAAAGCAAAAAATTTGAAATATTTGGAAGATTTCTTATATTTGAAAATCGAAATATATGAAATAATAGAATTATTTGGGGGGAGGGTCCGGACCGCGACGGAAGCCGTAGACCCATTATGAGGGAACTAAGACTAAAAGTGAAAAGGCGAAAATGTAGGAAATAATCCGATTATTTCGAATATTTTGCTTCAGAAATCGGCGTATTTCTGCTCGATCGCACCCCAATCCGTAATATTAGTAGTATTTTAAATTGACATGAAAATTCATATCGGATCAATATTTTGATGTAAATATATATATATATATCTATATCTACTAATTCTTTGCATCTACTTGCAGTGCATAAATTTACATGAAAGCTCCAAACTTGAACCCCCATTAAGTTCGCATCTCGTCCATACCCACAACTGCCACACTGGGTTGAAAACTTATACTTGCATGAAAGTTAACCTCAAAGCTCGAAATCTTATGAAATGTAATGAAGCTTTGTTTGAGCAGAGGACTTCTGAGCCCGAGATAAATCCAGTGTCAATTGGCGACCCGCCAAGTTGCCCGCAGCTAGCCAAGGGCGGGCACGGCAGCAGGGGTGACAGGACGCCCAGACATCATTCCAATCCAACACAAATCCATTCAGAATCCAGCCCAAATCCATGCAAAATTACGCTAAGCTCGGTCCCTTGTTCGAGAGGTCTGAAGCACCATGCCGATGGCGTATTCCTGAATATAGTGTACAAATATATTCTACAGATTATATTATTTTACCATATATTTAATAAGCTATTGGATCGTATGTTTTTAGCTGGGTCCTCCTGCAAGGGCAAGGTAACAATCTCCCTGGGCTTTAGCTTCGCCTTCGAACCTGGCCGCAAAATTCGTGGACAAACCCACGGTAAAAATCAGGAAGGCAAACAATAAACAACGCAAACGATCGGTAGAAAAAACTCCGGTATTCCATACCATGAGAACGGAAAATATTTGCATTACTT